ACGCGCGCAAACACACACACATACACACACACAGCGGCACGCACGACTTCCCGCGCAGAGACAGTGCACACAGCAGGGGTGTAAGGGTAAGGGCGAGTGATGCATAGCGCCAATGGTAGCGCAGTCCTCATCGTAATTAGCTCATCATGATCGGCAATCAGTAGTGCGGCTGCCTCTGCCCACTCGACGAATTAAGTACCCTCCCGGAATAGTTCCAATTCTACGAGATTTTAACATGAAGGTTCTAATGATGATGAGCTCTTTCTAGGAGATGATGTAGAGGCGCGGGTGGCCCCCTAGCACCCTCCGATAGTCCACCACAACCTCGTTGGCCCAGCGCAGGTCGCCGCCCGCCCCATCGCGCCGGCTGCGGTGCCACAGCTGCTGCGCCGCGGGGGCGGGCTCATATCTCGGTCCCCCCCCCCTCCCCCTCCCCATCATCTCCCTCGGGGTCCCAGAAGCTGCTCCTGGACCAAACGGAATGGGGCCGGCGCTCATCCAGGCGTGAAAGTGTTATATGGCCGGCCTGACCCGGCGAGGCCCGGCGGCCCGCACCTGCTGCAGGGCCTGCGGGGCCGCGACCACGGCGCCCCGACATCGCTCACAGCCGGCCCGGCCCGGGGGCCCGGGAGGACAGTGCTCGTCAAGCACGGCCGCGGGCGGCGGGCCCGGACCGGGGCCGGGGCCGGGGGTGGCGACTGGCGACGTGGGGGTGGTCCGGGGGCGGGCGGCCGCCCAGCGCCCCAGGGCAGTGTTCCGCTGCCGCCGACTCCTCCCCGCCGCAGCCACGTACGCACCCGGCCGCCGCCCCCGGTCCACCCCCGGCCCGCCCCCCCGCACCCTCCACCCCCTGCGCCCGTCCCTCACACCCCCGGAGACGCGGCGTTGTCAAGTCTGGCGGGGCCCAACCCGCGGCCCGCTGCGCAGAGTTGCCAAGTCTCGTCAACAGATGGAATGTGGGCTGCGCTGCCGCCCGGCGCCCGCTGTCGCCGAGGGCGGGCCCGGCTTCCTAAGTTATACCCTCGTTGTGAGAGGGGGTGAAAAGGTGGGTCACTAGTCCCGTTATCGGGGAGGAGAAGTTTACGAACCTTGACAGCTTTCCTCGGCGTTGACCGCGACTGCAGGCACGACATGACATGGAAGAAAAAGAAAGGACACATTTTATTTCTATTTACAAAAGCAAGTCGGTGAGGATCGGCCTTTTCTCTCTCGCGTAATAGTAATATATGAAGCCACACAAGCTCTGCGCGGTAGCAAGTAAATGTTTTGTAAAATGGACTGCAGGATCATAGCTTTTCATGTCGGCGCTCGGTACAAGCTTAGTTCGCATGCGGTGATGGTAACTTTCCCGTCCTTGTGCAAAGCTGGCATCAATAAGTTCTGTTAAAAATTAAATCAACCACTACGAAAAGAGGAAGAAAATCTGGAGACGAAACTGGTGGCGGAAATAGAAAGAGATGCGTGCAAGCGAAATGGCGAAAATTGTCAACGGCTATGTTCCTACCTAGCGAGGTACAATGTTCATTACAGTAGTACACCATTCTATACGATATCTGGATGACTTTCTGAGTTTTTCTTAAGCCATTGTACACAGGTTATTCAGAGAAGAATTTCTCCAGTGTCCAGGCGGGTCAACATGCTCTTTAGCTATAACTCATGCAGGGCCGTTTCGAGGCAATTTCATCTGATTTGTGTGTAACGGCTTCCAAGCATTTCGAGAAAGAGATCTCTGTTACAAGACATGTCACTATTTACCGACCAACTGCACTAGCCAAATAACATACTCGCGCCTACGAAGGTAAACTGGGAGTAAAAGCGATGAGATTCCAAACAGTTCTAACGCTATGGTAGTTCTGTATCATTTATTCCTATAATTAGTTAGAGGAAATGCCCCATTTAGAAGATGTAACAACCAATTTATTTAAACAGTACGCTAGTTTTATAATGCTAAGCATAGATTTTCTAAAGTAGAAAGGTTTAAATGACATGCCAATTCCCTCTGGTTTTCAGATCTACACCGCAAGGTTGCCACATTTGAAATTTTAACTGATTACAGAAAATAAATCATAATTTGCAATATTGTTTTTAGAGAGGAAAGGACGATTTTTTCTGCATTTAACTTATCTACCTCAGCTATACTACCGACACCTACGTCTCTCTCATTAACTTAATTTTCGTCTAATTATTTTTTGCGAAATTTTTCAAGCAGCAAGAGAAGTCATGGCAACCCGTGCGGCCCGCCTGCAGTTGGCCTGCCCTACCATGTCCGGGACCAGCCCCTCGTCGGGCTCCGAGTCGCTGTGCGCGGTGTGCGTCTGCTGTATAAGGGCGGTCACGGCCCGGGGCCCCCGGCCGGCCCGGTGGGCGCCCCTGTGGGGCCGGGGCTGGTGGGGCCCCGGGCTCCCGGAGGGGCTCCCGGAGGGGCTCTGCGGACACCCCGGGGGCCCCTCGGACCTGCTGCGACGTCCACCCCGCCCGCGAGGGGACAGCCGCTCCGCCGACTGCAACAGACACCAGCGGCAAAACACGGTGAAGGGCGTGCTGGGGCGTGCGGGGCCAGGCTCGGCTGCAACGAGTGTTATCAGACAGACAAAGAGGGGGACAACATGATCAAGCACCTCGTACACACCGCAACTATTGCGATGCATGGAAACGGACCGAAGGGCGCATCGACGTGTAGAAAGTTTTCACCAAAATGCCATCGAAATGGCGGAAAAGGCTAAAATACGCGGACGCAAACGCCAACCTCCTCAGCACTTGACGGACAGAAACCAGACAGCAGCAGCCGCTTCCTAAAAGTCGCCCTTTCCGACTCCTGTCCCCGGGTGTTCCCCTCCCCCTCCTCTCTCTCCCTCTCCCGTTCGTTTCGCTCGTCCCTATTTGCGTCAGCCCGTTTCTACCACCATGTATGTTTGATGTGGCGAGCGATGCCGCCTACGGCCGCCTCTGCCCGCAGGGGACCGAGGCGGAGAGGTTCGCATGGAGACAGGGAGAGCGCGCAGCAGTTAGTAGCGTCGTGCCGTCAGAGCGCAGTTACCAATTGAACAAAAACTCTTTACAGGGAAATTAACAGGAGCGAAGGGAAGGCGAAGGTTCAAGAGGGCTGGGGATATTTGAAAAGAGAGTCTCGCCCAGGCAAACGGCTTGACAATGAACTCACATCTTGTGATTAAAATTAAAGTTATTACAGAAAGAAATGTAAAAGGCGTGACAGTAAGCGAATGAAGAAATATTACTTCTTGAAAAAACGAGCCAGAGAATGAAAAATATCATGTGCTTTCTGGCAAGTTTTTTGTCGCCCTGTCCCCTCTGAGTCGCAAGGCCGGACGCTGCTAACACTAACATAAGCAATACACCCCTCTGTTTATTGATTTTACGCTCGCTGAGTGGAGAGGGAGTGGAGGCGGTGCATACGAGAGAGTGAGAGGAGGGGGGAGCGAGCGAGCGAGCGAGCGAGAGAGAGAGAGAGAGAGAGAGAGAGAGAGAGAGAGAGAGAGAGAGGAGGGGGAGGGGGGTAGTTAAATGAGTGGAATTAATCTCCCGTCGACTATTTGAAGTTGAAGAAGACACACCGGTGAAGGGCTTGGCGCCTGCAAGAGCCTGGGTAGGCCACCCCGCCACGCAGCTGCGCGCCGCGGAGTAGCCTACCTTCGGTCTGCAGGCGCTCGGAGCAGAGTGAGATCAGGGAGGTAGAGAGACAGAGGATCGCTCTGCACCACAGATAGAAGTAATATCGGACCATCGGTTCACAACAAAGTAGTGTATCTTCCGATGCCGATGCTCGGGTCGCGCCGCGTGGGGTTTGTGCGGCGAACTCACCGCGTTTGCAGAAAACAACGAAAAACCGTTTTCCCCGGCACTGCTGCCCTGGAGGCTTGTAGACGAGACCCTGGAGGAAAAGGAGGATCTCTTGCCGAACCTAACTGCAACTGCACTCTAACGTCTTGCACTCTTGCACAAGTGCGATGTCGGGGCTACTCACTCGGAAGCGGTCGGACGAGTCGAGGCAGTCCTCTGAGGCGGCGGCCGTGAGCCCGAACACCTCATGGCAGCGGTACGCGAGCAGAGGGTGTTTCCGACGCCGGGGCAGGATGGGCTCTGCGGACAAAAGAGACAGCCATAGTTAGATCTTATTTCTTACATTTTTCAATACATTTTTTTTTGTTCATGTGTGTTTGGCGCACTTTACATATTTTTATATATTAGGGGTTATGATTTTCTCCTGTTGGCGGAGCATTTCAGATTGCGGTACGTCCGCTCTAGACAAAAAAGTAAAATAAAATAAACTCTGAAATGAAATACGTAATAATGCTCGCTCCTTTTGCTCGGGTGTAGGTAGTAGTGGCATGATGCCCGCCCGCTCGCGACTAAAGCGGCGCGGGAGCAGGCACCAGACACCGACGCAGACGTGGAACAAGAAAGTTTGGGCGAAAACAAGAAGTCTCGGAGGAGCGAGCGGTGGCGGGGCGGCGGCGAGCAAACTAGCGGGCTAAACCTTGCGGCAGGCAGCGGGGGCGGACGGAGAACGCCGCGGAAAGTGCGCGCGACCCAAATCGGATACATTGCTGCGTTAATTTATTTCAGTTTATTTCATGGGGGAAATCATCTATGGTCTCCCCCCCCCCTTTTGAACCTCGAATGATTTAATGATTAAACAAGTGAGCATCTTCTAAAGACATCGCCCAGAAAGTACGTCCGGTCTTTCCTAAGATTTATCGTGCAGCAGATTACCGGAAGCTCAGCGCCTGCGAGACTCGGGGTAGGCCACCCTGCAGTACACATGTGCACTGCAGGCACGATGCTGCCTACCTATCAGGCGCTCTGAGAGCTTGCACACGATCAATGCACTTTGAATAACGTTAGAAAACGTAATTTTCCGCGCGATTCGTACTATACCATTAATTTTGCAATTTCTGGCGACAACGCGCAAAACGTTATAGTTGCAACAAAAAGCATATGCGCTTACCGACTTCGGGCTCGTCCCAGCAGAGGGCGGACACCGTGGCGCGGCAAGCACGGGGCATACGCCTCGTGCTCCGCATGGTGGGGTCGCGAGCGCGGGTGTTATCCCTGTCTCGTCCAGGTAAGGCGACCAAAGGGAGCGCTCTAAAACCCCCGCACCGAATAAAGTCTTTGGCGCCGCCGTGCGTTCGCGCTGATGGGGGTTGAGCCCGCGGGGAAGATCGACGACCAACTGAGGCGAAAACCAACTCGGAGCCCATCAACGCCCTGCTCCGCCACCGACCCCCGCCTCCCGCGCGCGGGGAGCCAAGCAGCGCCATACTAGGCTGCATCTTGAGCAGACCCCTGTTCTCTCCCCTCTGAAAAATACTCGCTGTCGTCCACGGAAGTTTTATTTTTAAAAAAGGCTTCAAGCCTGTGCTATTTTCCAATAGACCACGATTACCGATATTTTTATTTTGTTTGTCCAATTTAGTACTTTTCAGTGCATCACATTCATCGGAGGGACTTAAATTCCGTACAATGTATGTTGAGATAACTCAATAAATTGCACGAATATTGATAATACCCGAGAGCCCAAGGGGGAAAGCTGCTGATGTTAGTTTTCCCATTTTCCACAGATTTCCCAGTAGTGCTCTGCCAGCAGTGTAGCTGCCTGATCCGGCCGCCGCACTGATTTGGCGTGACGTAAGCAATCAAGGGGGTCCCGCCCCGCCGGGGAATCAATCAGTTTGGGCCTGAAGACAGACGGCACGCCTGCATTTTGCAGGAGGGTTCCAGGGCTTCCAGGGCCAGGCGCCAGGCGGCCACCCGACACACCCGGACCCCCCGAGAACCCCCAATTAGGTTATCTCACTCCGACCCCACGCGCCGCGTCCGGGAAGGGGGCGGTCTGCCGTCTCTCTCTCTATCTCTCGCTTACGCGGTGTCGGTGAGTGAGGAAGAGCCCTATCTGTGACGCAGCAGTTGAGAGCTGATAGCATCATCACGCTGGAGTGAGGTGGGGGGGGGGGGGGCAAGGGAGAGGGGAAGAGCAAGAGAGGGAGAGAGGGAGAAAAGGAGGAGGGGGGGTCGTCTCATCGACCCCCCCCGTACCTCCCTCACAGAGCTGACGCTGACCACGCCCATCCCAGGTGTTTGGAAGAATCCTTTAATATCATTCAAGTTTTTTTTTTTTTTTGTTGCGACCTACGGGTCTAAAACGTGTACACACTCCGAATCCCAGCAAAGAATAGAAACATTACTACCCATTTGAACTATTTGCATGATGCTGAAAACTCGTGAACACGGGTACGAAGCTCTCCTCGCGGGCGTCTCGGGCCTCTCAAAATCGCACCGTCTTGTCACTCCTAACCCTCGACCGCGACTACATTTTTTTGCCGCCCTTATCCTCCGTCCCCGGGTGCGTTCCCTCTCACGGATGGCTGCACCCCGACAAAAAGCCATGGCGTCGTGGATCAGGCCCACCGTGCTCGCTCAGGGGAGCTCCGAACGAGATCCCCCTACGATTGCGACCAGCCCGACTCCAGTGTGACTGGTCCAGTGGGCCGCCGCAGGGGGGGCCTGCGCAGCATCACGAGCTTGTCCTCATATTCCATTCTTTTTCCCGCGGCACCCTCGCGTAAAGCGTGGTTAGGGAAAAAAATGGGGGGGGGGGGGGAGTCTGTGGTCCGGTAATCGGTGGGCGATATTGGAGGCGCCAAGTACCCCTTTCTTCCACGCGAGCCCCCCACCCCCACACCCCCCGCTCTAGCCAGATATTTTTTATTCAAGGCCCATCAGGAGCCTCAATATTCCGGGCGCAAATGGATCGCCCGACGGAGCGGAAGAAAAGAAAACAGGCAGCATGGGCGCCCGGGATCGCGAGGGAAAATGTTTGCCCGCCGAGAGTGGATGGCCTGCTACCTTCGCGAGCGCGCGGGACGCGGGGGAGTGAGAAGATTCAAGCCTTGCAAAATGACATTTAGAGGTGATGACAATAGTCATATAGTTCTTCTATGTAAGTTCTACAATAATAATAACAGTTTCTTATATAATAGTTCTTCTTTATTTTCTTTTTGTTTCCTTCATTCGCCGTCTATTATAATTCTAATAATACCCCTATGGCCAATGGCCATTTCCACTAAATCGATGTGGCCTTTTCTGTAGAATAAGCATTACTAGGGCGCACTTAATAAATGTTCCCGGCTGATCTGACCGATTTCTGGTACGACCGCTTTGCTTGTTGCATCATTCTCCTCTCCCTTCCCGTCCCGTCCGCCGTGACTCTCTCTCTCTCCTTGTCTTTCTGCCTTGCCCTCTCTTTCTCAACCCCAAAGCCATCCGAACTAAATCGACTGTGTCTGTGTAGCGGCGCAACGGAATAAGCAGGTTTGCTTGTGCCGCCCGTGCAAACAAACGACCAAGAAA